CAGGAAGCCATAGATTCCGGATGCCTTCAACTGAGCCGACTTTGTGTCAGTCCTGCCTATTTTTGGTCCTGAACTGACCGCTTATTTATATATGGAAACACTAAAACGCGTGGAGACGTGGCAGCTTTCCATCCACACGCTGCAGTTCCGTGTGCCGATCCCAAGGGATGGCTTCCACCTTTGATGTCACTTGTAAACTGTTCAGCCAGCTTCCGCGGCACGAGCAGCCTCAGGGCTCCCCAAACTCCCCTATGYAGGTCTGACTTTGTGTGGGTATCTGTGCCCGTGTTCCCACGGGTGTGCGGGTACCAGGCTCTGCTCATCAGGGAAGGAAGGTGCCTCCTTACACAGGCACCACAAGTGACATTTGCAGCCCCCTTAGCGCTGAACAACTGCAGATTTTACAGCAAGAATTGACAGAGAGTGATTTGCTTAGCTAGTTTACAGCAATATTTAAGAAAATCATACCGGCATTATGGAAGAAACTTTGTCCAGAGTAATCGGATCCTATTTAATAGCAACCGCGGCCTGCTTGACTGACATCAAAGTGAGGGCTTTTGTTTCTAACAGGGATTAAACCAAGAAACCTGCCTCGCAGGAGGGCTGAAATGTGGTTATCTCTTACCTGACTCAGCCAACAGGCTCGCATTGCTTTAACTGCTATTTTTTTAACCTAAGACTTAGACAATGAAATCTTCAAATGATTGAAAGACTGCTTATCTGAGAACAGAATGAAAGCCTAACTCTTTAGGAACACACCTTCAATAGCTACATTTTATATAGGGAAAATGCTTTAAATGCTAATAAGTATTCTTTCTTAAGGGTTTCTCTTTCTTTTTGCATGTGGAATATGGAATTAATCAACATACTAGGAAAACAACAGCCTATCATCTCCATGATTAACCTTTTTATGATTTTTCCAAAATTCAAATGCATGTGGAACTCTCCCATTGCACTGTAAAATAAGATACAAAAAAATTTTAGAAGTTACATATACTACCTAAACATTAAAAAAAAAACCAACAAAAAATACCTTAAAACATCACAGCTTAAAAACTGAATATTGTGGGTTAAATATATGTAAAACTTTGATAGGTGAAACCCTTGTATAATGCATTTTGGAGCAAAATGTACTAGTTCCATTCCCGTTATTATTTTTTTAACTTACATTTATCATCTCCCTGCCCTCAAGAAGCAGCACAGTGRCCCTTGGGCAGCATTAGGAACTTCATCAACAAGAGATTCAATTTGCCTAAAAAATGTCCAGATGGATTTGGAGCTGTCTCCAAGGATGGCAGCTCCAGGAGGGCCTCTGAGGCTGCCCGCTCTGCTCCACCACCCTCACAGCAAAGAGGTTTTTCCTCACGTTCAGAGCCACCCGCGTTCCAGTTTATGCCCATCCTATCCCCAGGCACCACTGAAAGAGCCTGGCTCCATCCTCCCCACACCTGCCCCTCGGATACTCGAACACAGTGGTAAAATCCTCCTTAGTTAGAGGCCAGAAGCCTCCAACTAGACTGYGCACCCCTGAGCGCTGCCATTCGGTCCTCAACCCACCTCCGTGTCCGCTCATGCAGCTGCACTTGCTGGGCTGGCCTGTGAGGACGCTGAGAGAGATGCCAGGAGGAATTCCTACATGGAAGGACTGCTGGAGCATTGAAACAGGCTGCCCAGGGAGCTGGTGGAGTCACCAACCCGGCAGCATCCAAGAAACGGGTAGATGAGGCACTTAGAGACGTGTTKTAACAGTTATGATGCTGAAGGGCTTATGGTTGGACTCGATGATCTTGAAGGTCTTTTCCAMCCATAATGACTCTGTGATTCGATTGAGAGMCGGACTGAGGACAAGGCTGGTCACATCCACTGCTCCCCCTCAGCTCCCCAGCACTCGTCCCATCACAGAAGGCTGGCGGGTGGGTTRAGCAAACCTGAGCTGTGGGAAGACAGATTATCCTGCAAGTCTGGGCGCAATGGGTCTCTCTCTATTCCTCCCACTTAGAAAACCATCCTCTTAATTTTAAGCAACTTTACGGCTTTGCTTATTGGCAACCAAACCGGCACAAAGTCTGCCCACGGAGGACTGTGTGCAAGCTCTGGTCTATGGATTTTCATTGTATGGGTTAAAAAATCCCAAACCAGAAAACAAATAAAGTAAAATAATTACAGCAAACAAGATGGAGGTTGCTGGAATCCCTTCTATAACAATGCAAGAATATGGCAGGCAAGATCAGCCACGAGTAATCCTTCCTTGTCTTGGAGTACCTCTTGTTCCTACTATTTGATTTGGGAAGAATTCTAATATAAGGCAACAGAGCAAACAAAATTATTCCAGAGACACTGAGAGTTTAGAAGAGGTCAGGATGGGAGAGAAAAGGGAGAGTTGATAAAAGCATAGAATAAAAATCAATTACTCCAACAGATGAAGTTACATGAGATGTTATCATAACTATCACAAAGGTATCACAGTTGTGGGGTTTTTTTTTTTTTTTTTTACTGTAATCTTAAATAAATCCATTAAATGTTGGGAGTTAAATTACCTCTACTGCCTTTTTATTTTGGTTACCTTAATAGAAGGACATGGACATAGGGTGGAAATTTGTCCTTGCCTGAAGTTACTCTGCTCTTACACATTGTAAACAGGCAGCCAGGAAGGGCCCTGCCAGATGTCCTGAAGTAACAGGGCAAGGGGAGTGGGGAAGGAGGGGAGGGCTTCCCACCACCCCTTCCACACAAGCCAATAAACTAACCTTTGCTGAAACTGTAAAAATTTATAGTACTTGCAGGGTCCAGAAGGACAAGGCCCAGCTGCAGCATATGTATCATCCACACTAGGAAATACTTGGGGAAGAGAAAACAAGAAGGGGCACTGAGAAGGGAGACGACTGACTCCAGCAGATAACCTGATAYTGCAGAGCAGATGTGGGACTGGGAAAGAAACCACCACAAAAACACACAGTGTATAATATAATATATAGTCAGCACCATGATATGCGCTAAAGGAGCAAATAACATCAGCAAAGGAGGAAACATTTCTGCAGTGGAAGAAAATAAATGTGACATTGCAGATGAAGAAAGAACTGAGGTATGCAGGGATCCAAGAGATTCCCCCTCCTTCATAATAAACGTCCTGAAACAGAAAACCAAAAGCTGGAAGCAGAAGAACCCTGGAACTGGAGATGCCACCCGCAATTACGAACCAAAGGTCTTCCACTCATGAACAAAAACCCAGAACAACCCAACGGGGAACGTGGATTCTAGTGAGACCATTCTTAGCAGACCTGTGTGTTTTATTATTTCTTTACTAATTTTCATCCTCCCTCYTCCTTTTGCAGAAAGCAAAGGAGAGTTTGCTCTACCTAGAATCTGATTTTTGCATCTACTTGGTATTTCGACTCAGAAACAAGTGCAGGCTAAGAGTAGAAATCCCCCTGGTTCTAGTACCCCCCCAAATGCCAGGCCTATAGAAACCCTGGAGGTCTCCTCCTCATCTACCTCAAGCTGAGTGGAGAACTCAGAAGTTTCCGACGTCTCCGTAGAGCATTTTTGTGCACAAAGAATGAACAGCTGCAATTCAAAACCACCACGAGACAACAAACCCTAGGGGATTATTTTCTGGACTATTAGAAGTTTGCCCGCTGACATTATACACCAAGACAGAAAAAGAATTTAGAAATTAGCTCCTTACCACTGGAAACCAGACTCTCAGCTGAAAAGATAATATAAAATCGGGTAATCCAAAGTTGCAGATAAGTGCAGAGAGTTTAGTGCTCTTTCCCATTTCTTAGAAGTCACATTTCAGGTGGCAAAGAGCATCAAATAAACCCCTTATTTAATTCTCAAAGAGCTAGATTTTGAATCCTGTGATCTCAGGGATGCAAGTGTTGCAGTGAAGTGTTTTCAGCTATACAAAAACCCAAATCAATCCCCTTGAACTGAAATATATGGAAGGAAGCCAATGACGGTAAAGAAATGGAGGACACTTATTTAAACATCATTTTCAGTGCTCACAGACCAAACACAAAAAAAAAAGATAAGAGATTTAACCCCTCTAAAAAAACACTGCAACGGGGAAAGTTTGGGGGAAGTCCAGACCGAGAGCAGCTGTTTTCACCGTGTTTTTTCCTCAGTGTGTTTACAAAAGACTCGCTCCTTCTCCTTTTCCCACACGTAACCTGTTCAAGCTTACCCAGGGCACCAACAGTCGAGACCATTTCTCCCACATCACAACCCTACAATTTGCAGTTCCTCAAGCTCGGCAAATGCCTCAACTAAACTTAGACGCTTCCAGCCTTCAGTTTGCAGCAACGTTTATCCCTGTGGTGACCCAACCGGGCCGGGGGGCTGCCAGGCAGCAGCAAATCCTTATCCCTTATCCCAAACCCTTATCCCAAGAGCCTGCTCAGTGCCCCGTGTACAGGGAGGCTCCACAGGGCTGGACCAAGCAGCACCTTTGGGAAACGCTGCTGGCAGCGCTAAACAAGCATGAAACACTCTCCTTCCTGTCGGTTCTGCTCTTCCTGCTGCTGGGACTGTCCAAAATAGGGAGGAATTGCAGCTCCTCTCTTCTCCCTCTTTTTCTCAGCCCTATCCTTAATTTCCTCTTCTTGCACTAGAGGCTAAAGGAAGGAAAAAAATACTGTTAGAGCGAGCAAGGAGCCAGAGGTCTAAGGCTGTTGGGGATCCATTCATAACAGAGAGGAGACCAAGAATTACATGGAAGTTAATTGTCTGGGACTTTTGCTTTCCTGGTATTTTGCTTCTAGYTCATGAATGTTGATCAGAACAGCATAGGAAAGGGCTGCTTTGGGACAGACAGAACAATGCATTTCTATTTCCTTTTGGGCTTTTTATTTGAAACTAATCAAAAGACCAGAACAACAGCATTTATAAAAGGTACTCAGAATAACAAAGAATCTCCTGTTGATTTCGAGTCACATATTACTCACATACAGCAACGATTCCACCTTGGTAGCTTATAGCCATATGGATCAAAAGGCACCTGCAACAGCCATGGTTGCACATGCACTGTAGCAGCTACGCATGCAAAGGAGCACTTAGACATYCCTGGGGTTGCTGCCCAGGGTAGTCACTATAACTGAATATACGCTCCTGGTCACTAGACACACACAAATTGGGCACGCATGCAGTTCCAAAAACTTCAAGTGTTGCRTTCATCGTATCTACGGCGATAACGTCCTATGGAAACACTCATCCACTGAAAACAATAAAAGGAGTGTTAACTTTTTTGGAGATGTACAGTTGTGCTCACCTGTCTATGGAACATTAAAAAAATATAACAATCCGGTCGATTTTTTCCAAGCTGATATATCGGCAAAATCTCACCACTGTCATAAGACTTTGCAACTTGAAATGAATGAGAAAGATATTTAAACATAACCTCTAACACCACTTTTTTTATATGCATTTAACAACCTGTGACTTCATGAAGATCATTAGAGGATAGGTATTTCTTTGAAATAATTATGCAAATGCTCAGAATTTTTAAGAGCTGGACTAAATTTCCATTAGCTCATTATAACTCCACTAGAGATAAGTGAAAATACTCAAAATATGGGCATTTTTATCATCCTAAACACTTAGAGCTACAGGATTTGACTATACTTTGAAAGAGTCAGCAGATTCAAACCTAATACAAGACAATTTCATTAAGGTACAGAAACAACAAAACGGAAAATACGATTTCATCTCTCAAGACCAGATTTTGACAGAAGAAATGATTCTTCTTTAACGTAAGAACCTTGCTAGGGCAGAAGCATTTATCATCAAGTATTTCAAAGAAAGACAGAAGTAATAAAATATTTAGATATTGCTGTATTCCGGCAGACCGCACCGTAGCTGTATTGCCTTCAGCTTCTCTACTTTGATTTTTGCTCGCAACAGTTCCTCTTCCAGCTGCTGCTTTCTTTTCAAACCATCCCTTTTCTCTTGCACATAAAGCCCAATTCTTCTTTGATTTTCCAGTATTATTTGATGCTCTTCTTTCAGCATTTGCAACATCTGGGGGTCGTACCCACACATCGGTCTAAAGCGGTCTCCAACCTCAAGCCTAAAAAGCTCATCTCTTCTTGGAACGGGAGAAGGAGACATCATCACTCTCATGTCAACCGAAGATACTGAGGTTGAAGGAGACCTTTCCATAACATGCACCAACTGGTGATCTTCCTCTTGGCCTAAGTTCTCACTCTGCTGGGTGTCTATAACCAAAGAGGGGGGAGGTTTGACATCCTCTTCCAATTGCAACTCCATCATGACTGGCGCAGGAGGGGGATCCAGCACTGCCTGTGGTGAACTCGTTCCAGCAACTGTTTCTTTACTGACAACAGCACTAGAACACACAAAACGATATTTAAGTCACCCATGAAAATCCATTAAAAAAAAAAAGGAAAAAGAAAAGCATCGTTGTTTCATTTGAAATACTATTCATTGCTATGTTTATGGCTCTAACTCACTACATGAACAGTGTCTGTACTATCTGTCCCCCTCTTTCTTCCCACCACAAACACACAGGTGTCTCTCATGTCCAGGTGCCACCACTACTGAAGGGACAGCAGGGCCTATTGCAGAACCACCCTGGCAAGCCCTGATTCTGAAACAGGCTAAACAGACTAACAGAAGGACTGTTAGTGATAAACAGGACAAAAGCAAAGCAGCAGCAGGCAATGCTAATGCTACAGGCAACAGTTTGTCCAGTACAGAGTGCGGGGAGGGAAAAAAGGCACAAATTTAGATCGAGAGGACTATGGTAGAAACCCATCCATCTCCCAAACTTATTGCCCCAAACTTACTGCATCTCCTCCTGTTATAACGTGCTCTCTATTGTAGATTCATACACTCAGATATAAGTATGTTTTATGCAAAACAATCACTGAATAAACTTAGTCGTGGGACAGAGGCCAGATGATGGCCCTAGCAGTGGATGATGGAGTCAAGCTCATTACTGCTCCTTCCTTCCCATCAGGAACGTCAGTATTTTTCTGAGCTTCAAGGAGCCATGGAAGTGTTTCCATCACAACAGCGGATAGTTGTTGTGCACAGCACTTCTCCGACTGTKGAGGCTACAACACCCTCTTGACTCATGTGCCTTTGAGTAAATCCGCGAGTCAGTCGCACTTCAAATCTGGATTTGACATTACTCGAGCTTTGAAGACAGAAATGGTTYGACGTGTCCCTGCTTACTTCTCCACCATCAGCTGTGTTTCAAAAGCACATCACAGTTCGGCACATGGCCCCTGTATGCAGGAACTGCTCTAAGCCACGTCAGCTTCTTCATCTGTTTTCCTGTACAGATCCACAGCAAGGCTTTTGCTACAGCTGAAACACAGCAATGGGATCACACTGAGCCAGCCCTGCTACCACAGGGAATGCACCATGGGGACAGGGATTCTCTAAAACAGGGGCTTTAAGTACCGGACACAGATCCGAGACATTCCCCAACTCTGGAAGAAGTGACCTGCTCAGCTAARGGCAGTGAGTGGATCCACGGTTATTACCAGTCACAGAAGATATCACAGATGCTCCCCAAGCCTGAAGGACCTGARTTGCTATTAAAAGCTGGGAGGGTGGGGGATATTAAGCTTTTTTAACTCCTTTTAAGCCCTGCAGTTCACAGTTCCAGAAACTATCTCCTTATTAACACACTGCCTTGCTCAGTGGCGAGGCAGGTTCAACTTCCTAGAAGCAAATTAGGATTTTAAATTTGCATATCCTGCCTTTTGTGTAAATAAACTTTTGATATCAACGTTAAGGAGATAGAAGGTGCCCCACGGACTTTAAAATTCTTGCTTTAAAGGCAACAAGTGGCCACGGCTGCAATTTCTGTAGGATGCTGATCTAGTCCCCTATCCATTAAGGTGCAACTTCTAGAATAAAAGCATGCAAGTTTCTCCGTGCTGGATCACAAGGCTTTTTAACAGGGTGAGAGCAATATACTTTCCATAAATTAATTTTGCTAACCACCTAAGCTATTTTAAACTAGTGCTTTTTTYCYTWAAAAAAAAAAAAAATCATCTATCTGAAGCAGATACCTAAAACAGAGCTTTCACTTACTGCARAAAGCAGCATGGGCTACTCTTAATTCCCTCTATTGTCACCTGAGCTGCCTATGAAGTGTCAGTCTTAAGGCCTCCCCTTTTCCTCACCCCACAAGCCTCACTTTTTCGCCAGGCCCCTTTCCCACATCCCTCTCAGTGTTCCCTGGAAGGCTCCTTCATTTGCACCACACACTTCCACCGCTTTCCCCCCGTGCTGAGGGTAATTCCGGGTTTCCCTGGTTCACAGGCACAGCTTTTAACACAGCCTCCCTCTTTCTTATTTCCTGGCTCCTAGCCAGCTTGTAGCCTGAGAAAAGTGGAAGCTCTAGCTGGAGAAGCAGGTCACTCTGACAAAGGGAAACTGCGAGACGGGGAAAGTGAGAGAGGTTAAAAACAGGCAGGCAAGATTTGCTCTAGCGTGGATTAGACCCTTCGAAGAGTGAAAAATCCACCTCTTGCAGTATAATCCATTAGAAACTAGCAAACTACCAAATATTTAGCTAACTCAGAGTTGGGTTTTGTTTGTTTGTTTTTTAAGTCAGTCTCTTATGAGGCAAACAATTAGTGATGAAAAAAAAAAAGATGAGCACTAGAAACTCCTGTAGGGTGCCTACAAATGTTGTTTCTGACAACTTAACTGGAAGAAAGACCGGGAACAGTTAGCACAACTGGGGGAGGGTATTTATACCCCTAGGGGCACCCATGATTCATTAGGCTGCATTTAATCACAGCGAGCTCGGAATCGCTTAAAGGTGCGACTACGGATTTGGATTCTTAGCTACTCATATCTCCCTCCCAAAACCTCAGCCTTACTCCGCTCAGTTAAAAGTCCAGCACATAAATCTAAAATGAGGGGCAACGGTAGCTCACAGGGAAGATGAGAATGATCAAATAATGATATATTTGGGCAGGAAATAATGTATGCATTTAAATGACATTCCGTTCCTTCAGCACACGCTGCACCGGCTGATCCTGGGAACAACCATTTTGGGTAAGYGGCAGCCGTGCCGCTGCTCCCGGAGCCGAAATGGGCTGCCAAAACGCTGCTGAAAGCGCGGGAGCCGAACCCGGGGGCTCAGAGCCATTCCTGAGAGGCGCCGCTGCCCTTCCCACGCAGAGGCACAAGCCCGAGTTCGCGCAGGGCGCTGCCCCCTGCGCGGGCAGCGAAGTTGGGCGCCGCTTTGTCCCCCGCGCCGCTCCAAGGGCATCCCCGCGCTCCCCGCGCCAGGGCCCGCACCTAGTTGTGGAGCYCCCGGCCCGCGGGCCACCGCTCGGATCCGGCCCAAGCGGAGGCGCCGGATAAAATCCCCCCGCGCGCAGGCCGGCCCCTCTGGCGCGCTCGGCCCCGGCACCCTCGCCTGGGTGTCCAGGGATAATAAAACCCGGGGCTTTCTTAAGGTCACCAGGGAGTGATCGGATCCCCCCTTGCTGCCTCCCATCTCAGCGTTTGCATCTGCCGGAGCCCAGGCGGGACCCGGGCATTTTTTGATCCCTCCAGGACCCACAGAGGAGCAGCAGAGTGTTGCAAGTGGGAGCTGAGGGGCGTTAGGCGGCTGGGTGAGCAGGGCTGCCTGCCTGGATTACGTCTGGCTCAAATCTGCACGCTGCGTCTCACTTTACTGAGCACTCAGAAAAAAATWAAAAAAAATAAAAAACACTACAAAAAAAGAAACTTCTGCTGCTGTACCTCTCGGTTTGCTCTCTCCAAGCTACCCAATCCACAATACTGAAGTATTTGGAGTTTAGATCGCAATTAGCTTGGCTCCAGTTTCAGAGAAAGGCTGTCAGTGCGAGTAAAGTATGATTTAAAAATACATTTGCACTCACAAAAGGCACTGTGTGGTAGGGAGGGATTTTTTAAGGACGGGATCAGTTAAAATACAACATGCAAACATCACAGTAAATGAGAGAGGGGGGAAAAAAAAGGAATATGAACAAGATTTCCTTAATCCTATGATCTAACTTTAATAAAGATCTTACATAAACTAGTAATTGTTCCATATGCTGCAAAATGACTGCAGTATTACCTTAAATGGAGGAGAATAGCCCTCACTTTGCCAGTGTTTGAATAATCTGCCTATTAAAAGGTAGGGGAGGGGTAGAGGTTGGAGCTCCTATTTCCCTTTGATTCCCTCTTAACCCTCACTTTCCAGAGGGTGACAAAGACTCTGAAACAGGCTTTGAACCGGGGCTGGAAAATGAATGCAGTGTTAAGTCACCATTAAGCTTTCCATAAAAACAATAGAAATATTACCCTGCCACTGCTCCCAATTGGGGGGGGGGGGGTGTTCCCTTCTAAGCCTCAGGACACTGAGCACAAGTTAAGAAAAGCCTTACAGAGTAGGTAGGAGGCGCCAGAATTTTCATTCAGGGGAGGAGAAAAAAAAAAAATATCTCACCTTTGTGAAATGCTCCTGTCTCTTAAACACACATTGGAAATCTGTGGAATCATCTCCACAACTTTCTTGGTTGGCTCGGAAATGCTGCTTTTACAGTCAGCGTAAGTCTCCTTTTGCTGCAATAGCTCCTGTTTGGCATATTCTTTGAGCCTCTTGTACAGCGTGCGCAGGCCCTGGGCAGTGCGAGGAGGCCGGTCTACTCCGATGGCATTGTAGTTATCAGCTATGATGTCCCAGCATTTGTTTTTTTCCACTATTACAGAATGCTTATTGGTATGTTCCTCGAGAATTTGAACATACGGCTTGACGAGTTTTAGCAAATCGAGCTTTTCGGATAAGGTGAAATTAGAAGATCTGGCCTTCCCGACCATTGTTATCTTTGAATTAAGGAAGCAGCTCCTGAAGCCACCATGCAGTCCCTAGCTCCGCTCAGCTCTTTTTCACAAACAGAAAAAGATCAGGCTTAACTAGGCTAGTCTCATTTAGGCCCACGCCTACAAGGGAGGGTTTATTAAAATTCCTTCAGCTTAAGCTGACGCAGGTTCAGGAAATCTGCTTAAGCCAAGCCTGACCTACATAAGGCTTCAGACTGAAGACGACGAGAAGAAACAAGCAAAAAACACTTTTGTGCGGAGAGCCCTGACACACACAGGATTTAAAAAAAAAAATAGCATAAAGGTTTAACGATTAGCACATTACCCAGCTAAAAATTACCTAATTGAGCTGGAGTAACGAGCTCTGACACCCGTGCCCGGCTCTCCCGCACGCGTCCCGGGGGGG